ATATTAAAGTACACTTTAAAAGAGATATATGTTTTTTGGTATTTTTAATTTTGAATCCGTGTAAAACAAGTTGTTTTTTTCCCCAGACTCTAATTTCATTTCTTATAATGTGGCCTTTATGATGTCTTACGTTTTTATTTGATAATTTTGTAGAAGTAAATATACTCTATATGGTTTTCTGGGTCATTATTATTTCCATTCATTTAAGTATAAATTCCACAAGGCAATTCCCGTTTATTGGTGTTGATGAACATTTCTTTGTGGAAGGTAGCTCATGTGGAGGTGGCAGGGAATGGAGGTTGTGGGTAGAAAGTATCTAAAAGAAAGCACTACATGTGGTGTAAGGGAACTCTCAAGAATACTGAGCTTTTAACAAATTGTTTAGAAATCCCAATTGTGTGTCCATAGTAGTTATTAAAGTATATGTGTGCGGTTTTGGATAACCTTTGCGAATCCTTGTTCTCCAAATCTAACAGCTTTATCTGCTTGCACTTCCTGTATTGAACAATTAGGTAGTGGATTTCACCAAAGGAATGACAGCGAGTACCTGTATTCCATTAGCGAAGCCAGAAACAGGGCTCCCATCCTTCAACCAGGTCAGACTTGGGGCAGGGATGCCTCTGGCTTCACATTCTAACCTCACCAGGTTATTAACCACCACCGCCACCACGTTACTGCTGCCGGAAATGGATGGGGGCACTGAAAAGAGATAAGCAAGTAAATAAGCTATGTTCACATCACAGAAGATTTCACCTCAAAGTAATGAACATTGTATGTAATGTCCACAGTAGTGTTTTCACATGGTGGGTTTTGGTATGTATATATATGGGGTCAGGGGGGGGGCATAGAGTTCTTTCACTTTTCTTATTTGGGATTCTAATCACATTTATCCTGTGAGGTAAGTAGGGCAATGATCAGTCTCGCCACCTTACAGATGAGGAAAATGAGGTTTTGTCACTTTGTGTAGGAAATCCAGCTTTTGATACCAGAGTGGATTTTTATTTCTCGATTTCAGGCTCTTGTGTGTGCGCATGGGTGCATGCATGTATGTGTGTGTGTGTGTGTGTGTGTGTGTGTGTGTGTATGTGTGTTGATGTCCCTCCACTGTATCCACTCTAGTATGTTAACTACCAACTCCTCTTCAAAGTAATAAGTTGGAAACATTTGTTTAAAAATAAGATTCTCATAGACAGTACTGTGTTTACAATCAGGGCTATTGTCATTGCTGATAAGAGGGTTGGTGACCATTTCAACAATTCATCTAAAGCAAACTTAAGTCTGATACAGCATGTGAAAATGAAGCATTTTAACAGGAATCAGGAAATAAAAACGTTTATCAGTTTTAGAACACTGTACTCTTCTATATATAATGAGGATCCTAACACACTCGGTTAAATATTTACACTAGGATTTTATAGAAGGACTTCATCATTTCGAAGGTTTCTTTACCCCAGGGTGCATTCAGGGGAAGCAGCACTCACCATGGACTTGAAGACTGTAATATAATTCTGTGGCTCCAGCTGAGTTGATGGCCACACATTTATATATGCCAGCATCCGCGATCTGGGCGCTTTCAATCTCAATGATCTGCCCTCTGTTCAAGAAAGCCACACTGGTGGAACCTGCGAGCGGCCGGTTATCTTTGTACCAGGTAATAACTGCAAGGGCCAGAGGGGAGAGGCCCATCTGTTTAATTTGTTTCTTTGAAAAGCTCGATACCTGCACTAAATTAGAGCTTAACTAAAACAGTAACAACTGCTTTATTCTTGTGCTCATCATCTCAGTTTAATCTGTTTAAATTTTGCTTTAGAGAGATTTTTATGAGGAAGTAATCGTAAGAAGAACATGAATAGCCAAGCCAGCGTAATTCCTGACAACAAATTTATAAAAAAAAAATGTATTTTGTCTCTAATGCATCAATATTGTTTGGGAGCAAATTTTTAACTGGTTCTATTTCTTTTTGTTGTACATATTCCTCTCTTCACATCTAATCAAAACCAAACATATATCCACTATTAGTCTCAAAAATATGTATTATTATTGACTCCTAGGAATAACTTACTAGTGATGAGAATAAAAACAATAATAGTCTCCTCAAATGACTGATGTGTAAAGATAACCAATATGGCCCTAGCTGGTTTGGCTCAATGGATAGAGTGTCAGCCTGTGGACTGAAGGGTCCCAGGTTTGATTTCGGTCAAGGCACATGCCCGGGTTGCGGGCTTGATCCCATTGTGGGGTATGCAGGAGGCAGCCAATCAATGATTCTCTCTCATCATTGATGTTTCTATCTCTCTCCCCCTCTCCCTTCCTCTCTGAAATCAATAAAAATATATATTTTAAAAAAAGATAACCAATATGGACTAGATAAAAATAAATTTTTCAAAATAAATGTATATGAAATATCAGCATGTGTTTTGTGGACACAGGAAGGACAATAAGACAATTAATTATTCATTTAAAGTAATGAAAATTTGAAAATACTACCTTGAAATGTATCTATAACTTTTCTTTATTAGTAATTACTATATTATGCTCATAAACAGATTTAACTATTCCCAGAAATCTTAGAATGTTAATAAGTCACAGAGTCCACAAGTAAACATACCAGGCAAGGGATTCCCTGCAGCCTTACACTCCAGCTGTATAGGGTTGTTCACCACCACGCTCTCATTCAGCATCTTCCCTGCGTCCTCCAGGCTGGGTGGTTCTGCAAGAAGCCCAGACACGTAACTCACTCATATAAATTGGTGAGGATATGGAGAGAAGAGAACCCCTGTGCACTGCTGCTGTGATGTAAATCGATACAGCAACTATGCAAAACAGTACGGAGGTTCCTCAAAAAATTAAAATTACTACCATATGTTCCAGCAATCACACTTCTGGGTATATATAAGAAGGAAATAAAATCAGTATCTCAGGTTAGGAATAAAAGACCAGTGCTTAATGATAAATAAAATAAAACCAGTCTCCCAAAGAGATATCTGCACCCATGTTCATTTCAGCATTATTCACAAAAGCCAAGATATAGAAATACCCTAAGTGTCCATCAACAGGTGAATGGATAAAAGATGTCACCCACACACACAGAAGAATATTATTCAGCTATGAGAAAGAAGGAAACCCCGCCACTTGAAACAACATGGATGAACCTATAGGACGTGATGTTAAGTGAAATAAGCCAGACAGAGAAAGACAAATACTATATGATGTCACTTATATGTGGAAAAGTTAAACTCATGGAAACAGAGAGTAGAATGGTGGTTACCAGGAGCTGGGGGATGGGGGAAACGGGGAGATGCTGGTCAAAAGGTACAAGCCTTCATTTATAAGATGAATAAACTCTGGGGTTCTAAAGTATAGCATGGTAATAATACTGGGAGAGAGTAGATCTTAAGTGTTATCAACACACACATAACTACATAAGGTGAAGGATGTGTTAATTAATCTGACTGTAATCATCATTCTACAAAGTATACATATATAAAATCATCACACTTTAAATATGTACAATTTTATTTGTCAATTATGCGTCAATAAAGCTGGAGGGAAATGAACAAAAGAGACAGGGTGGTACAGACATAAGTAAAGACATTTAAGCAATAAAAGAGATTTGAGATCACAGAAATAAACACATATCTAAAGTCAAATAATTTCCAAAAAGAGGGCCAAGCCCATTCAATGGAAAAAAATAGTCTTCTCAACAAATGTAATTTCAATTATTCCCTTCTAGCATTTAAAGAGATAGTCTTGCAATTTGAATTTAAGTGAACACTTTTCTAGACAGACGTATTAGTAAGGTAACAATATGTTATGCTAAAGATGAGAAAATGTCTGCAAACTCCAAGCAGGAGGTCGAATTCCATGCAACTTGTTGGTTTTTCCCCACTATTTTCCTTCCTCCAAAGCCACATCATGCCAAAACCACAGTACCTTCTTCTGGACACATCATAGGCTAGATTCTGCCGATTACTTCAACCACTCAAAGGCATGAATTGACTTTTTCAAATCTTGGTTAAATTTGAATTAATACATACCTGATGTAAAAGTAATATGGGTGAGTTAATCCTCCCCAACCACCAGGATTATGACAGCATAATAAATTCATCTATACCAAGAAAATAGTATAGTAGAGTCCTGAACTGAAGTTACCCATGAAGAAAGAAATAATAAATGTTCCTCCTACAATATTCCCAAGTCTCCTTTAGGCCACAAGTGAACTAGTAAGTAAAACACAGAAATGATAGAGAAACCTTTTTTAAGTGGGTGTTAGGAGATGTTAGCCAAGCAAATACTTTAAAATAATAAAATTAAATCAAGGGGAGTTCCATTAATGTTTTCAGCAGACAACTCATACAGACCCCAGACGGTTTCTGGCCAACAGTAAAGGACTTTAGATATATTTGTTAAAATGCTGGTGCAGGGAGAAGGGCCAGGCGCCAAATATATGTTTGGCTCAAACGGGTTAAGGTACTTTTTACAGATGATGAGTAGGAACCAAACACCAGCCTAAGCTTTTCATACATAGTCTTTCATTTAATCCTCACAATAACCTCCCTGATTATGGCATTATCATTTTCCTCCCCATTTTATAGGTGAGGAAACTGAACTTTCAAACAGTTAACATCTAAACTCAGTGTTCTACAGCTATCACTTGGAAATATAGGAACCCAATTCAAAGCCCAGGCTTTTATCCACCACATCATACTTCTGAGTGCTTCATCATGGCTGATTTTTCCCCAGGAAACAATTAAGTGCAGACGAAATAAATGCTTGAGCCATATTATTGTTTGTGTGTGGAAACATCTGTCTCACTTGGCAAATACCTGAGGTTTAGATATGATTTCTTATCTTGGTCTAGAGAATTAGGACTTCCAGAATTATGAAACCTCGATAATCAAGAGGACTACCTACTGAGAGTCTCTGCCTCTTGTGATGCATAGAACTCCCCTGGAAAATCCAGGGAATCATAAGAACGCTCCTCTTCTCGTGATCATGACTTGGTCTTCAGTCCAGGAGACCATGGACCCTTACTTCACCTTTTAGAAAGACTTTTTTTCCCATGCTTGAGAATAATGAGAATATAGGCTTTTCTATATATATAAAAGCCTAAGTTGACTCGCACATGTGTGATACATAGAAAGCTCTCCTTGGTGCCAATCGCACGCGTGTGTTTCCATCTGTCATTGTCGATCATGAATTTGGTTGACACTTCTGTTATAGAGAAAGGGCAAATGGCAATATTAAAATATTTCCTCTAATTAATTTCTTTTCAATGTGTACGGATTCGTGCACCGGGCCACTAGTCTTTTTTTATAAGAAAGAAAAATATTAACAGCTGGGAGGCTGAGTTTGTTAGGACTGAACACTTTTGGATGACAATTGTCATAGATGCTCATTTGCTGAATGTATTACCCCAACAATAAAGATTGGGATAAAAACAAATCTTAACTTAAAAGGCAACTATAGAATTGATTGAATAAATTAATGAATGAACTAAATTAAAGGATATCTGCTTTCTTATAGATTTTTCAGTGTCCCTTTTAATATACAGTAACAGAATTAGATATACAGTGGGGCCTTGACTTACGAGTGTCCCGACTAACGAGTTTTTCGAGATACGAGCCGTCTCTCCGCCGATTTTGTGCTTTGAGTTGCGAGCTAAAATTCAAGTTACGAGCCAGCTGCAGATACCCCACCACTAGTTGGCGCAGCTAACGTCACAGTGAATGCCACAACATCAGCCCAGCATCACGTGTCTCACTCGTTCACTTTTTGATTTGACATATGGAGTAATTTGAGTTACGAGCTCCGTCACGGAACGAATTAAACTCATAAGTCAAGGCCCCACTGTATTACTTTGGAAGCATTCAGAGAGCAAGAGTATAACAGAATCAATTCCTCTCTTGTTTTTCATATTATAAGCTTCTATTACTGATTTCTAAGATTGATTAACTTTATTATGAAACTGAGTTATCATCTCTACAGTAATTGAAGAAAGCCATTAGTACATCTAGTATTTCAATGTGTGGTGTCTACCAGACTACTGTACCAATTTTTAGGTAATTTCCACACAAAGGTGGAATATTGGAGCTAGATGAAAGGTAGATGAAAGGTAGACCTATTTTCTACAATGTCTCCAAGTTCCATCTTATTCTAACCACTTGTTTGCATGTAACTAACATTTTTCTATATCATGGTGGTTTTTTCTCTTTAATGCTCAGGAGCCCAGGTATAGGGGACAGTTAGGTTCAGGGCCTCAGGTCTGGTAGACTTAAACCCCTCTTCTCCACCCTATTCTTATGTGGTTTCCCACATCAGATTAACTTGTCATTTTAACCTCTGAGATCTTTTGGAAATCTGTCATCCACTAATCCCTTAGAAATTCCTACACTTTTTTTTTTAACATCTCCAATTCTTGCTGAAGTTAATAACACAAGTAACAAAGAAGACAGATAAAATTTGGAGTCATTTGTATTCAAGGCACCATTGCAGTCATGAGTGTCAAGATGATATTCCAGCTTTCTCTCCAGATTCCTGTCACATTCACATAGCCAACTATTCCTCCAGGTTAGTCCTAATAAGTATTACATTTAAAGTTCACTTTATTATTAATTCAGGCTGATGAACTGTTATCCAGACAAGTCAAGATGGTATGAGATGAAACATTTTCAGCTAGTATAGTATCTTGCTTTTATTCATATAAAGGAGATTGTTTTAATAAATCCTTAAAATAAATCCTGACTCACCTTCTGTTTCTTTCTTCTCACATTGACCCAGATGTCTTCGAGCTTGGTCCCTTACTCTCTGATTATTTTCCATGTAACTGTGTGTACCCCAACTGCATCTCCTGCTAATATACACGGTGTTACCACAATCAGACCCTCGGTTTACAGACTTGTGTATTGATTCTGCTTTTCCTCTTCTGTTGTTGCTCTGGATTGGATGGGATGCTTGGTTTCTTTCCTGCACTCTGGTTTTCAGTCATTCTTAACTACACCGGCAAGACTCTAGGTGAGTCTTTAGAGTTTGGGCCAATGTTTCTCTAAGTAATGGCACACAGACCACTTGTATCAGAGATGCTGTTTCAGAAGATCTGGGACTGGGCCCAGGAAGTTGTATTTTTAACATGGAGCATGTACGATTGTTATGAACATTAAAGTTTGGGTTTCCCAAACAATAAAGTTTAGTTCTTCCTGGTTCTGGAGACATACACTCTGTTCTTCATGATAGAATCATCATTTAAGTACTTTAAGTCATTCTAGAGAACAAAAACATCCTTCTTTTTGATAACCTGAGAGAGTAGAGGTGGGAGATATTTTATATCGAACGCCTCTAATCCTCAAAAGCACTGCACAAGTCAGATATTCAGAGAAAATAAATTTGTTTGCTCAAGGTAACCAGATCACAGTTAGTACAGAATTTAAACCAATGTCAGCTGGACCCCAGTGCACGAGATGATTGCAACATAACAAGCTATCCCACTTCCCTGTTTCCTCTTAGCCAATGGAGACCAGATAAGGACTGAAATGTTGGAAAAGAGAAGACAAACAGTTTATACCAGGAGGAAAAAAAGAGCCGCTGGGTAGGAAAATGGGGAAAGCAGAGCAAGCCCACCCCAGCATACTCTTAGATGGAAGTGCAGATCTGAGTAGGTGCTGGAGACAGCTGCCAAAGAACCCTGGGGACAGATATTAGGCTTTAGGAGGAACAAGGTAAATTCAAGGCCATTTAAGGGAGAGTAGGGTTAGCCTGTCACCAAAGCCTTAAGCATGGTAAGCTAATTCCAAGATGGTTACAATCATCCTCTTAAGGAACATGGTTTGTGTGTATGACATCCATAACTTAGGTGTTCATATTTAGGGAACTGGGGAGAGAATAAATTGGTTTATTGGGAACATTTAGGGAACTGATAATTTGAATCTTTTAACCGGCCAATTTAAAGAAAAGAAAACATGTAAAGAAATAGATTAGAAGAATTCAATGTTCTAAATTTTTTATTAACTTATTATTTATTCTTCCATTTGTTAAATATTTACTGACCGCCTACTATGTACCTGGAATTAAGGTAGGTGTTAAGGCATTCTTTTAGGTTAAATGGTTTAGTAAATGTGAAGTGAATATATGAATTAATTAATGATTTAACAGCAATTAGAATTAGAGAAAATGAATACTGCTCAGGTGGAGATCTTGAATAACTCTCTACAAATATCCTTGGCTGACTCAGGAAAGTCCAAGTCTGTATTTCTTGGCCCTTTCTGATGACTCTCCAGGGACTGAAGTCTTACATTCAAGGTCAGTCTTTCAAGTTTACTGTGAAGCTGTAATATTCATGAGGTGGTCCATGGTCACCACGAGAGAAGATCCTGCGTCAAGGTTAGCTTCGACTCACAAAATCCCTCTTACAGGTAAGAAGATCACAGACAATCCTATGGGACAACCTTGCAACTTCTGCCTTTTCAACAAAAGTTTTCTGCGGAAAGTTGTCGACAGAATTCGAGTACTTTCCCATACAGGGTAGTGTATTTATTTATTTATTTACTAGTGGCCCAGTGCACGAAATTCATGCACGGGGGAGGGGGGTGTTCTAGTGTATTTATTTATGAGCTCTGGCATATCCCATTTGTCAACCTGAAAACTAAAGATCTTAAGACGAGCAATTATAATTACAATAATGTAAATAAAACAAAAACCTAAGTTTTTTTTATACAGACTAAAATAAACACTTATTCTTTTTAACAGTGTAATTCAATAAAAATGAGCCCACGGTGCTTTAAAATAAAAAGGCAAAGAAATATACTTTTGTCAGGACGTGGGGATGGCATTACCGTGCACGTGCAGTTGAATGTGCTGCTGGGCTTCCCCCGCCGCATTGGTGGCCACACATGTGTATCTGCCAGCGTCTTCCATCAGGGTTTTGGCAATTTGTAGAACTCGACCAGAAGACTGTATCTAATTGGGAGCAGAAAGCATAGCAGCATTTGGTACTTAATCTTGGACTTGAAAACCTTTGTAGAGATAGACAAACTCATTTAACTTTATGATATCTAATTATATTTTCATGCCATTATCTTCATTTTCTCTTAGAAGATTAGAGCCAGATCACTTCATCCTGCACGAGAAAATAGACCCGTTTTATTAAAGAGCTTTTCTTATTGGTTGGAAAATG